TCATTTTCAACGAACGACCATTCCACGGAAATTATTCATTTTCCTTTATACGGACTTAGGTAAATTTGTGCAAGCGTTAAGTGTAAAGCAACCACTATTCATATGACTTGATTGCTCCAAATTAGTGCAAAAACACTTGGTCACACCGGCAAGCCTGCGTTCCAGCTTGAGTTTCTCTATCATTATGCATTCTTTTCAGTTACATTAGTAAATAGCTTAATCTTTTCTTCGCAGGAAATGTTCTGTGGAACCGAGTGGTGCACGTTTCCCCCTTCCTGTCACCAAGCACTGCTCCCAAATTGTTGTTTGCATTTCACCGGGATCTTGTGATCTCTAATCCAAAATCAAGCCATTGCTGCAGCTCCGAAATAAAACAGCCACTCACACAAATATGTGCGCCGTCAAATGGGCAAAAGCTTTCCCCAGCTTCCTTCTCTTGCCCTTGTTTTAGAGAAAGCTTGAGCCGCTTTGAAGAATTGGGGTCGCAGAAAGATCTAGTTCTGATTGCGCACCTTTGTTTCTCATTTTGATGCTCTACTTTTTTCAGTACAAGACCTGGGATTCCCATTTGGCCGAAATTTACGATTTGGACTTCGCCAACAAACTACAGCTTGAACTTAGCAAGAAAGTCAAGCCGAGTGCAACAACAACCGGCGGATATGGGGCTGCCGCCGCAAATATCGAAGACAGTGAGGAATGGAACTTGAGCGAAGACATCGTAAGCACAGAAACTGAATGGCGTACCCAGCGAGAAGCATCTAAATCGAGCGATGAGCAGCATTCGCAGTCTTCTTACACCAACTACGAGACCTCCTGGCCAAGTCTGGAGATGCCATCATCAGACGCAGAAGAAAGTCTGGAATTGCAGAGATCGCAATCGCAGCCTGAAGCTTCACTTCTCCAGCGTCACATCGATGAATTTTTAATGAAAAGAAGCAAATCATTCCCGTATGTTCCAGAAGAATATAAAGAGGAATCGGCTGGTCGTAGCAGTCCGGTAGACACTTTATGGGAGCATCATCAAAACTTTCCGGATTCTTATGGCCGAGCGGAAAAGCCGAATGCATCTGCTAGTAAGGAGGATCCTACCGAATTTGAATAGAAATACAAAATATACAGTTAGTGTGTGTTTAAGAACAAAAACGTAGATTGTTAGTGACATATATGTTTACATGCATGTGCGCATTATGAGTAGCATGACTTTTTTG